TTTAAAATCAGTAGTAGCACTTATAGAATTGTTGAATCTTAAACTTTGGAATTATGTATTGTCTGAATGAGATCTCTGTGCTCAGTGCAGCGCCCCAAGCGACAAATGTAGGCAAACGTTCCAACTCCATACAAATTAAATTACAGTAAATTTTTACGCTATCGAGAACGTTAAAAACTCGCACTTAACACACTGTCTGATACACCACCGCAATTTCTTCTGAGTTTCATACCTAGTCAAAGTTAGGTACACAAAATATAATATAAATATTTACTAACAATCACGCCACGATAACTGGTCCCGTGATAAGTTCGTAAAGAACTTGTGTTACAGGTACCAGATAACGGAAATAAATATAAGATTTTTATTATACACATACATATAATATTTAATATACACCAATAACCCTGGAAAGACATTTATATTTATCATACAAATATCTTCCCTTGGCGGGATTCGAACCCACGACCCCCTTGTGTAGTGACCATGTCACTTACCACTACACCAGAGGGCCGTTACAAAAGCGAGTATTCTTTCTACAATTTGCAAATACTCTTCGAATCTTTTAACGCTACGCACGGTGTATAGCTTGATGAATGTATGGTTGCGACTTATGAGGCAACCCAAGGGCAAATGTTGATTCGATCATTAATACTAGTTCACATCATGATAACGGAACTTACGACTTCGGTATAATGTGGTTTACACGACTATTTTCCTGTTACTTAATCAACAACAAAAAAACTACGATTTATAATAGGCTGCTTGCATTTAAACTGTATCCTATAGTATTAAAAAAGGTTATTATCCCAATAGTATTTGTTTTCTTGTATTGAATAGTAATTATCAAATTGAGATTTAAAACATCATATGGTTCTTTATTATTAAATAATCCTCGATAATCCTCGATCCTCTTCACTATATTATTTTCATAAGCTTACTTACGCCCTCCCACGACAAAGTTTAACTTCGACTGGTGGTGAGATATATTAAACCCGCACTGGTCCCTCCTAATGACTACAATACATTGTAGTCTTTATAAGGGACGGTGCGCCTATTACAATATCGATCTGTCAGTTCTTTTACTACCGCAAATCAACAATGGGAAGTGCGTGCAGCCTTTATGTGTAGAATAAAATTGAAACTTCGAGTTCATGTGTCAAGGTGAAAGACGAAATTCATATCAGCGATTTAATCACTTCGGGTAACCCCTTAATCCCATGTGGTGGACTGTGAGCACATCTTTTTTTTTTGTTCCTACCTAAACTTGCTGTCTTGAGAAGCAATGTCAGCGTAACCTAACAAGTAGGTGAGCTCACGCGGCTCAAACATGACGCTGTTGCTAATACTAAGCCTAGCAAGAGCAGGTCTTTGCAGAATCTACCACCGGATCGGAAATGCGACCCACTGAGAAAATCCGGCGAGAAACTGCGTCTGTGGGTTAATTTACTCGCCGAGCCCTTCGTCGGTAGGGACGGGCTCGATGAGAACGATGACTGGGTCTGCACATCCTCCCATTAACAGAAATAAATATCTTTACGGCTGGTGAACCCCCATCAAGAACTAAGTTCCTTATCATCAAAAATATATATGTAATACTTAAAAACAAAAACATTATTTTATAAAAAAATTATAATTTAAAAAGTGAATCAAAATTAAGATTAAAAATTGTAAATTAAATATTTAAATTATATACAGTAGAATTTTAGTCTGCTAGAATCTCGAAATTTGCACGTAGATTCTCGTTAAAAATAGAACGAGACAGAGACAGAGAGAGAGAGAGAGAGAGAGAGAGAGAGAGAGAGAGAGAGAGCAAGCGAAACTCGCATGGAGGAGGCATAACGCTTATTTGCTACGTGATGAATTTTTACCACTCCACCACTACAGCCAGCCAATCTAAAGGGATAAAAACCAGTGACTTGATATCCTTGCCGATCGAATCGTCGAAACATCGTCAATGGGCTAACAACTGAAAGATATTTCTGAGAACTATCCCCTAGCTATATTTCAACATAATGAAAATAAACATGAATTTGGATAATATTTTTCTGCAAGTCGTACATAAATTGCGCGTTATTTCCCAATTGCAACAAAACGCCGTGCCGCCTGGCTAATGACAGTCATTCACAATATGTTGCAAGTCAGTAACCAAGCTTCCTGAGCGAAATTACACAACGTTGTATTTTTGTTTAATTCTTACATATATTTTTATTTGTTAATATAGACATACGAGCTCGGACACTCCTTGCATTAAATGGCAACCGATGCTCTTAAACAACCACAACGTGTAACATCAATGTACTCAATTGTTTTCTAATAAATACATATCGATAGACAGTAAATAGCAGCAGTTATTAAAACACCACAAAAGAAAATTAGGTAAAGTAAGACTTAAGGAGTAAAAAAAGAATAGAAGGGAGATTTCGACTTCATGTCTTAACTAATGTGGCTGCATCCTACCCTACTATGTACGCAATAGCTAAATACATATAAAATGCAAAATCTCGTACAGTCTCACCATATCCCCATCACCGGAAAAGTCAAATGCTGAAACTCACTATGGAATTATTAAAGCGGAGGTTTTAACACGCTTTTATTTAGCTTGGTATGTAATCTATGGGGCCGAATCTTTGAATTTAAAGTAGCTTTAAAGCAACTGATTGAATTGAGACTTCGCAAACTTTCATTAAATCGAATTATCCGATTATCTTGATCATAATTTTCAGGATTATCAACGGCACGGACGGATAAAATAGGCAGTTTCTTGTGCTATGTACTAATTGCGTGTACGCGTCTGCTGCCTTCCTTGGATATGATGGCCCTTTCTCAGACTTCTCCAGAATCAAAATCTAATTTCCCGTTAAAACCCTGGTAATCACAGAGCCTATGTCAGATGCCAGAGCCAGACTTGCTTAAAATTAACTGGAAGAGTCCCGTGTCATTACGCAGCGATGCATTGGATAAAATGGTCAGATTACGAAATATGTAACTCATAGAACCACCTAATAACCACTCTTCACATATGATACACTAAAAAGCAGATTCTTCCTTACTGTGAAACTATAATCATTGAAGATCAAAAAGGTGTGGCAGGTGGCCATCATACAACACAAGATATTTGACAGATGCTTGAATCTCCCTTACGACACTTTCATGATAAGCTTGCTTAAATATAAGTTCCGAAGAAAAGCATTCGGACCGTTAGTCTACCGAACAATTATACCCGGTCGGTGGAAGATCTTTCCCTCCGTCGTTACACCTCCAACACTGGTGACCCCGACGTGATTTGAACACACAACCTCCCACAAAGTAAAAACAAATGATACATAGTATTGAAAGCTAAGAAAGAGTTGGGAGGTTTTTAAGATATTTCATAATGACTTTACTTTTACCAATATCTGTCCATAAAATGTTTACAATAATTTTAGTGTAGCACGCCACACGTTTTTACATTAAAATGACTATTTTCTCATTCTAATTTTTTAAACGACAAATGCGTATTTTAATTTATTTAATTTAACATTTATTTATGCCGTACTTATGATTGACTCTCTTCTTCGACGCGTTAGAATATAATTACACGATGCTTTGTATCACGTTTATTCATGCATTAAATTAAGTATTTGCGCTTTAAAACAATAATCTCATTTATTCAGAACGACACCTATTTGTTTTGTAACCTTTTCCGTGCTCTTAACTTTGAGGCCAAGGTTCGCGTCTCAGTCTAGATACTATATTCTGAGCGGTCTTTTAAACAATAATAAATAAATAATAGATTAGTATAGGTATTATAATGTAATATGTAACATAACTTATACATACTGTTTAAGTAACTTTTCAAGGACATCTCGTGGTATACCATTTATTCTTTTTAAAAGATTTTAAATTAAGAATCAGAAGATTATTAATTTCAACCGTATGTATTTTCGTATGTATTATTCATATTATTGTATGTAAAGTATAGTTTGTAATATAACTTTAAACTTTATGTCCAATTATGACGAATAAGATTTGGAACACTGGCGTATGTTTTTTTCTTTTAGAATAAAAACACATTCATTTGTAATCCCTAGAGCAAGCAATACCTACAGAAAACAGTGTTTTTCTATGCTCGATAAACTACGTCTGAACACTGTAATATGTGTTAGTGCTCTATTCTCGGATAAGAACCTGCAGGTAGGTATATCGACTATAAAAAGAATAGGCGAAAAAAATTGTATTGAATTTTCGAAATTATTGGACCAATTAGGAAGAAATTTTATGGAAATCTTCAGATCGTCCTAGCGGATGGTGTTGATAGCGACCGAATTAAAATAAAATCAAAGATTAGCCAGTAAAGCGGGCCCCGTTTCACTAGTATAAACTATGTGTTACTTACGAAATAGTGTTAATAAACGGCTTTTATTAAGTAACGACCCTTAAAATAATATTTTCCTGGACTTCTGAAACTTAAAAAGCGACTGCTCATAGAAAATAAGTCCCAAATATGTAGAAGACTCGAAAATTCAGGAACTGTAAAACAATTTCACGATTCAATCGGAACGTAAACGACAGAAACATGATTTTAGCGAAATTTGTGACAATTTTAAAAATATGAAAACATGTTAAAAACGTAACATAATTGATTCACACGATAACGACTTTAGACTATTTCGTTGTTACAATTAGATTAATTTAACTGGGCCGTAAAATAGATTAATTTAATTTTTCCCAATTACATTATTTTGGAAAACAATGACCGCATCGGTTTACCCTAAACGGCGCCAAGCTAGGATTTCCTACCTATTTCGAGATGCGAACCCATATCCCGTTTTGCAGTAGTCACAATAAAAATTAAATTACATATCCTCTAATAAATAATTTATAAAACGAATTTTACAAAACAATATTTAAGTGCATGATATTTGGTCTTCAACTAACTTTATTTAAAAAAACGTATTAAAATTTCAAGCGAAAACGACGGTGATTTTAATTTTTTAAATTAATATAATGTAACTCACTGCCAGCGCCGTTTGTCGTTCATTTTGACAGATGCAGAATTTCCCATGTTCACCGTCTTCCCTAGAGCTAAGGCTGTTTAATGAAAGAAACCTGAACACAACACAATACTGTTGTTTTGCAAACACTAAGAACGTGCAGTTCATTCGACTACTTGTTATGACTGTAATCCACCACCTTGGTGCCAGACTTGTTCAATGGCCGTGACTTTCCCTTGCATTAGAGAGACGTTTGTTAGCACTCAATACTGCTTTAATTTATTGTTCGATTTAAAAATGTATTTAAGTACATTTATATTTGATCCAATACACATAAGACTATCAATGCTAATTAAACACTAATTATTGTTCTAAATTTTCACGGGTCTTATGTACAGCTTTCAAACCACAGCATGATGTGATAGGCAGCGACTTAGATCTGCCTCTGTCAGCCTTGAGCAACGGTAACCACTAGCTGTCATGTGGAACATATACCTACTCAATCTGTCTACAAAGATAACAAAAAAGTAATAAAAAAAACTACAATAATTCTTTCAGTTTTATTTTATTTTTTGGGCTTAGAATTGCTGATGACCAGCTTCATCCGATTCTGACCCGACGTTTAAACTACAATCACAGTTTTCGTGGTATTAGATGGTAAATAGAAAATAATATTATCTTTTGGTGTTGGTAAAATTTACATTATAGTTAAATAAATCCCTGTAAGCATCTGGCCTCTCCGTTGTCTCGTCTCATCAATTACACAGCAGAGCATGAAACTATTCGTAAATAAAAACATCTTATTTATTTTATTGCCAGCGTTACGAAAAAAACAACTTCAGAAAAACTAAATCCACATTACCTATTCGGGACTGATACCTGACACTGGAACCTACAACTCTTTGATTGAAAGATTTATAAATCATCACATCCTAATTTTAAGTCAAACCACATTTACATTATATTACATTTACTTAAACAAAACATCTATAAATCATTTAATGCTTTATTAATAAAACACAATTTTTACGAAAACATTGAATATTTCTACCAAAATAGATCGGTAAGGTATACTCGTAAGACCTTTACATGTTATTTCGAGGAATATGTAAAGGAGGAAGGAGGTGGATTTATTTAGGAACTTATTAGAGATCTCCATTACCATTGAGATGCATATTATACTCAATGTCTGGAGAGTCATTATTTGAAAGCCTAAAGATAATTTGCCCGATGAAGATACTTATCGTAAGAATGCCTACATATTTTTGAATTCTCTTATGAGTGTACCTGGTGTGTATTATGGGTGTATCTGGCGCCTTTAACTGATTCCTTTTTCTTTTTTTTATTGCTTATATAGGTGGATGAGCTCACGTCCCACCTGATGCTCAGTGGTTACTGGAGCCCATAGACATCTACAACGTAAATGCCGCCACCCACCTTGAGACATGAGTTGTAAGGTCTCACTTTTAACAGTACAACGGGTACCCCGCCTTTCAGACCGAAACGCATTACTACCTCACGGCAGAAATACACACAATTCTACGATACTACACGACTACAATTCTTCTATCTTAAAGCAACTAGGTGTAAATTTTAATCCAAATAGTTATGAAAATAACTAAGCAAAATCGTTAAAAATTATGTAAATGGTGTATCGGTACAATAGCCATACTTATTATATGTATGGGCTAAATAAACATTACACATTTGATTTGGCAAATAGGGTTGAAGCGTGAAAATGAATAAATATTATCAAAATTACAGTCTTAGCCAACCAGTTTACAAATAATTGCAAAAAATACAATGTATTTAAATTAATTAATCAACTAATTTTATTCAAATACGCATTGGTTATAAACTCTGTAAAATTTAAGATAATATATCAGTGTGAAAACCAATAAATATGTAATGCTAGTAATGAGAAAATCTATACTTATGACAGGTGTTTGGCGGCAACGCGAGGCACTTCAAGATGCTAAGTGAATTATTTTAAATTTTCAATCAAGTATTTCTAGCTTATGTGTGTAACATTTATGCAACAATTAAATTGTAATAGTAAATAATCCTGGTTTTAATGTGTCATAGTTAAGCTTATTAACCATTTAGCATATGTGAAAGGGCGAAAATCTGTCAAAATGAAACAACCGATAGACGTGGCTTGCCGGGCTCCAAAAGGTCCATTGAAGTCTTGATAATTTTCCAACATTCTACTGGGAAATTTTTAAATCTACATTCGTTTCATTCAATTTCATCTGATAATCAATTTCAGATAAATCCACTCCATTTCATTTCAATCAAATTCAATTTCCAAAGAGCAAGTAATATACCTAATAATAGTAATAAATGATGTGTTGGCTAAAATACCGATCCTAACCATTATATAAAAATATCCAGTTTTTAAAAATGAGCACTTATTAATATGTCAGGCTTTTTTGGCGGGAATGCGAGGAGCGAAGTTGTGTGAATTGTTTTATTTTATATATTTAGTGTTTCTTAAGGTTTAAATGTGTAGCAACGGTGGTTTATTAACTGTTTAGTATCTATGAAAGTGTACAAATAAGAAAAATATAACAAAGCCACTGAATGTAGCTTCTCGGCATCTTCCAAAAAGTCCACTGAAAAAGTCTCAGGAAATAACCACCATTTTACTGAAATTATATTTCATCCCATATCTCATTTCATTTTCCATAAAAAAGAATATACAGAAAATGAGGGTTTATAGTATGATATCTTTGCCTGCCTTGGAAAAATAGAACCCCTACTGAAGACACATGCAGCGTGACCAGATTTAGTAGATTTCTACTTTTTTAGTAGATTTTGAGGTACTGGCAACAGAATTTAGTATGTAAAAAATTATTTGGTATATTTTAATAGAATTCACGCTTTTCAGTTATTCTAGTACTATTTTGGCATTTTGGATAATTTCGGGGTATTCCCCCTTTCATCGAATGGATTGTAACTATTTAATTTTCATTCTTTTCGTTACCATTCGTGCCGTGAGCATAATGTGGTAGACTAGTGGGAATCCCTTCATTTAAAATTTTTATAATCGAACTTAATATACACAAGGATATCGCGATGTCCCATTCAACACGATATCCTTGTAGTTGCAACAGAAAACATGCAAATTGTTGACAAACAATATAGGGAATTAAAATTAGATGTTTCCGTGTCTAATTTATTGTCAACTTCTAGTTCGACGTCTAAAACTTTTATGGTGGATAAAATTTGGAGTCTTCTTCTTCTTCTTCTTCCAGTGCCTCTTCAATCCTGAAGGTTAACCATTAGCTTCCTGTATTCATTTCTGTCAGCAGCCAGCCGGAACAGCTGTTCGACGGAGGCAATACCGGTCCACTCCCGGATATTAAGGAGCCATGACTTTTTTCTTCGCCCAGCATGTCTCTTTTCGTCCAGGAAATCAGCCAAATCTGTGATACAAATAGCAAGCCAAGGTATGGCAATTTGTCCCGATTTGTGAAGCAAATGACGATACCAACTTTGTCAAATTCCAAAGTAGAAAGAATAATTTCTAATATAAATAGGATTAAAAATGAAGATCGAAATCTATTTAATAATAAGAATGTTGCTGCAATAATGCATGGAAAAGAGGGGCTACGACATGGTGACAGTTGGAAGGAGGATGTCGCACATTTGATCCTCACAGAAGTATTATCAAGTTAATGTATTCAAAAAAACTTTATGAAAATGTTACCCAACATAAAGACGAAGAATTTTAAGTTTAAGTTTTTTTTATAATTTTTATTTAGAATGTTTTGTGTTGTCCAGGTGGAGCACTGGGTGTGAATACTCCAGAGGGTCCCACAAACAAGTTCGAAAAGGAATGGTAGCGAGCGAGGTGCGGACGTATTCTCGTGTGTATGCTTCGGTGGTTGCGGGTGAACTGTCGGCGCCAGTAAAGGCGCACGCGCGGCTTTCCAAAAGGAAAGCCACTCGGTCGCTACTCTTTGAATCGCGCCGGGAGCCGACAACGAGAATCCCTCATTGGTCGCGGCGCGCGATCAGACGCGGCTGCCGACGCGGCAGGCGTTAGGGTTGCTATAAATTTAATTTAAAAAAAAAGAACATTGGTCTCTTGAATTAAAGGTGGTTTCTTTGTTATTTTTATTGTTTTATTGTTTAATCAAGGAAACATTCATGTTTTTACGTTGTAACACGACAGCAAAAAAAAAGTATAACAGATTTTAGTATTTCTCGTTCTCTTTTGGTAGAATTCAGTAGATTTTAACCTCCACAAGCAGTAGATTCGTCAAATGAAATCTGGTGACATTGGACACATGTCAACTGTCAGTCGCAGGTTATGTTCGTTCTGTAGTGGCACGTAAACACAAAATTTAAAACATGAAAAAAGAAGGTTAGCTTTATATTTCCCTGAAAGTTTGAAATATTATTGATATTTGTAGTTCCCGTAATAGTAGTTATATTAGTAAGTAAAATCCCTTTTTTTTGTTGAACATTTCAGAAGTACAAGCTATATTCATGAAGATCCTGAGAGAAGAAGAGGATGTCTCAGCTGGTGTGGCTGCCATCAAAACCTTGTTAACTGTTATAGAAAATTATAAAGGTATTATCTACTTATATCAATATTAGTTCATAAAAATGTAACTGATATTTTTACATATAATAATGCAGAAAGTTATAACAGAGATTACTACAGTTAAAAAATAAATTCCTTAAAAAAAACTGAATAAGTTAATGGATTTGTGATGTCGTGTCGGAATTTTAAAATAGAACTGTGATTTTTATTTATATGCTATGTAGCAATTCTTCTGATTTTCTTTGGCTGCTGCCAATAATAATAGTTATTGTGTTTGTGTTTGAATATTTACTATAAGTTAACAAAACTGCTAACATGTCTTCTAAGCTTGACTAACATATTTTACGATATTCATCTTGAGCCCAGTCGTCATCGTCTCAACAATTCTATAATTTGTACTAAGATGCTAAAAAAAGTGAGTAAAAATCACTTTTCTCTGCTACTACTACATTACATGTTTCTTTCAGTATCTACAGTGAGAGAATTAGATCTGAATCTCCAATTGGCTGTGGATGCAATGAGACATTGTGATCAACCTGTTACAGCTATCTCATCTGGGTGTGAATTGTTTATGAGGTTTATTACATTTGCCAAATTAGACACAAAGGTACTTACA